TGGATGGTAAGCAGGGCTGCCAGGAGTATAACTGAAGCCCATATGGGATCTTGGTGCATGCAAGGCAAGGACTTTAGGCACTAGGCTACCATGCTGGGCCTGAGACTCCACTTTTTAAAATAATATTTATTTTTTAATATTTATTTATTTTTATTATAAAGTCAGATATACAGAGAGAATGAGAGATAGAGAGAAATATCTTCTGTCCAATGTTTCACTCCCCAAGTGATTGCAACTGCCAGTGCTACATTGATCCAAAGCCAGGATCCAGGAACTTCTTCTGGGTCTCCCATGTGGGTGCAGGGTCCCAAGGCCTTGGACCGTCCTCCATTGCTTTTCCAGGCCACAAGCAGGGAGCTAGATGGGAAGTGGAGCTGCCGGGATTAGAACCGGTGCCCATATGGGACCTCGGCGTGTTAAAGACGAGGACTTTAGCCATTAGGCCACCGCGCTGGGCCCAGATTTATTTATTTTTATTGCAAAGTCAGATATACAGACAGGAGGAGAGACAGGGAGGAAAACCTTCCGTGCAATGATTCACTCTCCAAGTGAGCGCAACGGCCTGTATGTGAATTGTGTTAGGGGGCAAGCCAGGCTGGGCTAAGCAACCATATCCACTGGTACAGGCATGAACCAGAGCAAGTGCAGGCTGGTTGGGCTTTGCTTCAGCATCAGCAGGCAGGTGCTGGGACTGGTGGCAAATACTGTCAATCTAGATTGCAGGACACCTGGAAAGTGCAAGATCTGGCACTGGGAGTGAACCCAATAGGGAAATTATGGGTACCAGAGTTGGGGGTGGGCCCTGGTTAGACAGGTGGTAGCATTGAGTGTGGGCTGTGCAGTGGGATTGGTTGTGTTGAGCTAGGTTTCAAAGCCCATTGAGATGTGCAAGAGCTGAATGGGATGTGAGACAGACTAGACCAGTCTGCTGCACATACTGTCAGGGTCGGGTGTGGGCCTAGTGGGGGTTATTGGGTATTTCTACAACTAGGCTGCAACTCCTGCTAATGTAATGAAGGCCAAGTGTGTAGTGGACAGGCTTGAGCTCATCCATTGGCTTACATAAGAGACATGGCTGGAATCAGAACTGACTCAGCAATTGCAACTACTAGTATAGTGTAAGTTGATGAGGTTGATGGATACAGCCAAGCCCATTATGAGGAAGCAAACACAAGAATCAGGTCTGGAATCATTTCAGACAAGTTACCTTTGGGGATACTCCAAACTGAATCACAGTACTCAGATATCCAACCATAGAGAGAACTGCAGGACTGGTGGACTGAATGTAGACTGCATGTCTACATTGGGCCTCCTCAGTGGTTTAAACAGAGCAGTGGATGGCATGCCCAGATGTACATGTACAGACTCTGTGGGGACTGCTCATTGCTTAACTGTCTGTCTCCAGCAATGGCATAATGTCTGGCAAAGAGTAGGCACTCAGGTAAAATTTAAATAAATTTAAAAGGATCTCCACAGGTCCATTGGAGCCTGCAGAGAACATGTTACCATAGCAAAGGAAGGAGGGCAGAACAAATCGGATAACTACCCCAGCCAAACATTGACAGCAAGCATCTGGGCAAATGGAGATTCTAAGGTGGACTATGTCAGCCAATGGCCCTTGGAAGGATTTCCTCATCCTTGGATCAATGAGATTAACAGCATTTCAGAACTATTGGAATCATCAGAGCAGAACCCCCAGAATATGCTCCACATCAAAGACCCTGGGATGATATTGGGTAACTGTTCCCTCATCCCTGAGTATGGAGGCACTTGGGAGGCTGGGTGTGGCTTCTCTCCTTGTCTCCTCACTTCCCCCAGATACAGGACGAAGAAAGTTTGAAAGCAATGGTCTCACCCATTTTCCCCTAACCCTCCTCCGTTCCCACCCTTATCAACTATATAAACATCATTGGGCCTGGTACGATGGCCTAGTAGCTAAAGTCCTCGCCTTGAACATGCCAGGATCCCATATGGGTGCTGGTTCTAATTCGGCAGTTCCACTTCTCCTGGAGGAAGAGAAACAGAGACCAATGATTCACTCCCCAAGTGAGCACAATGGCCACAACTGTGCCAAACTGAAGCCAGGAGCCAGGAACTTTCTCCAGGTCTCCCATGCGGGTGCAGGGCCCCAAGGCTTTGGGTCGTCTTCAACTGCCTTCCCAGGCCACAAGCAGGGAGCTGGATGGGAAGTGGAGCTGCCAGGATTAGAACTGGTGCCCATATGGGATCCCAGCATGTTCAAGGCAAGGCCTTTAGCTGTTAGGGCACTGTGCTGGGCCCTGACTCTATTTTTGCATTTTCAGTACCCACTTGTGGAGATGGCACAAGTGTTGCCTTACAATGTTATGACCACTGCAATGTTCCAAGAGATAGAATCTTTTACCCGCAATATTTTCTTGGGACTACTGTTGAATATTTGGTCCATCATTGACTAGATACCATGCAGTGTATGACATCTTTATAAAATATTTAGCACAAAAATTTTAGGTGAATCATTTAACATGACAAATATGAACTTTGTTAACATATAAAAATATTAAAGTACACATTTTCTTTGACCTTTTAGATTTATTTGTTTGTATTGGAGAGGGAGATATACAGAGAGGAGACACAGAGAGGAAGATTTTCCATCTGTTGCTTCACTCCCTAAGTGGTTACAACAGCTGGAGCTAAGCGAATCCAAAGCCAGGAGCTTCTTTCGTTTCTCCCACGGCAGCGCAGGATCCCAAGGACTTGGACCATCCTCCACTGCTTTCCTGCCATAGCAGGAAGCTAGGTGGAAAGTGGAGTAGCTGGAACATGAACCAGCCCCCATTTGGAACCTGCAAGGTCGAGGATTAGCCAATCAAACCATCACATGGGCCCAACATGTGATTTTTCTTAGAAAAGCTTATCTCAAGGACAGTTGTTGTGGCACAGTGGTTCACATGACCAGACATATTTCAGAACAATGATGTCAGGACACCAAGAGGGTGAATTCAAGGGAGAGAGTTCAGACTTCTTTAGGAAGGTTGCTCTTCTCCAGGTGGGATAAGAAACAATGAGGATTTGTAGGCTACATAGGCACTGCCTTTATCTACCCAACAAGAAAACCTCCCAGAGAATATGGGCATTTGAAATGTAATTACCCAGGGGTTCTCACTGTGACCTTATTAGGATCACTTGGGAGAAGTTTAAAAAAAAAAAACCTACTCAGACCACACTATTTTCTAATGAAATAATAATCACTACAGTGAAGCCTGGCATTGGAATTAAAAAACAAACACACACAGAAAAACTTGCCACACAATCCTAATGTCCTAATGTGCTGAAAACCTTCATCACAATCCTTAAGTGAGAACCTAAGATGACCTGAGTTTGGAGTATGGCTGCCCCGACGGAAGGGTACTCTGGGAGAGCAAGTAAACTAACTTAGCTACTTCATTTGTTAATAATGCTTCACACTGGCCATTGCCATGGCTCAGTCCCATATGGGTGTGTTTGTGTCCCAGCTGTTTTCACTTCCACGCAGTTCCCTCCTTATGTCCTATAAAAGACTGGCTCATTTATGGCAGTTGTGGCCACTTGATGAGTGAACCAGCAGATGTCTCTCCTGGCCCCTGTAACTCTGCCTTTGAAGTAACATTACAAAAAAAATAGTGCTTCAAACAATAAGGTGTCACCCACCTCACTAAAACTACCAAAGACTAAAGGTGATTTTTTAAAAAAAGATTTATAATTTTTATTGGAAAGGCAGATATACAGAGAGGAGAGACAGAGAAGAAGATATTCTGGCCGATCCGAAGCTAGGAGCCTCTAAAAAGTACATCTTTGGGGCCCGGTGCGGTGCAAGTGGTTAAAGGTCCTCGCCTTGCACGCCCGGGATCCCATATGGGCCGGTTCTAATCCCGGCAGCCCTGCTTCCCTTCCAGCTCCCTGCCTGTGGCCTGGGAAAGCAGTCGAGGACGGCCCAAAGCTTTGGGACCTTGCACCCGCGTGGGAGACCCGGAAGAGGCTCCTGGCTTCGGATCGGCATAGTATCAGCCGTTGTGCTCACTTGGGGAGTGAATCATCGGATGGAAGATCTTCCTCTCTGCCTCTCCTCTCTGTATATCCGCCTTTCCAATAAAAAAATAATAATAAAAATAAATCTTTAAAAAAAAAAAGTACATCTTTGCATAAGAACCAATGAAATTTGCAATGGTACTCTAAATTAGGCCGAGCTGTAACCTACCCCAGACTGTCAGCCTGCTTCCCAGTGTTCAATGAATACACCAGAAGGAGCTGTGACCCAAGACAATTCAGGTGCAGCCAATAAGGAAAACAGAGGGAATTATTCCTAAACCTGTGACTCCACAAGCAGGGGGCCAACAGGCTATTTTTTTTGTCTGAGGGCTAAAGGAGTACACAAGAGCGAGAATTCTTGTCATCACATGCAGGAGTGGATACAAGTTCGCACAAGATCAGCCCAGGAGTATGTTAGGACACAGGATGAGTGTTATTAGTAACAAGGTCCCTGCAGGGAGCTTCGTATGCAGTTGACGCAAACACTGTCCTAGGGATACTTTTTAACTCATCTCTGCCCGGGCCTTGGGACAGGTTGACTGCCTTCCTCCCTGAAACCTTATCAGGTTGCTCACAGGGTCTTTAGAAATAAGTCACAAAGATTTTCGACATATCTTCCTTCTACCGACCAGAATGACTAGGCTGCCAATCCCTTATGGCGTTGTATACCCCTTCCCCCTTTGCCCCTCAAATAGCAATAAAAACAAAACTGAGACTTGGGGCTTTCTGGTGTCTGCCTGTGCCAGTGCCACGGACTCGGCTCTCGTACCTCGTGGGTGCAACAGACTGGTACCGAAACAGGACCTACCCGCGGCATCACGACAGACACAGACACACACATACAAAAACACACACGCACAGGCGAAAACCCCCAACCTCTGCAAGTCGGAGACGCCCGCTTCCGGGAAGTAGACCGGAAGCCGCGCTCGATTCGGCGTCCGACGCGATCTCAGGGGCCGTCGTAAAAGTGTCGCCCTTCGCCTTTCGGACTTGGCCACAGGTTTCCGCTCGCCTCCCGCCGCCGGGGGTCGAGCACTGCGGGCGTCAGTTTCCCTCAAGATGGCGGACGAAGAAGTCGGTGGTGCGGAGAGGATGGAAGTCAGTACCGACTTGCCCCCGACCCCTCAGCGACTGGCATGTGTAAGTCCTTCCGACAAGTTCTTTTTGTCTTCCTTCCCCCCAGCCTCCGGTCGCTCCCTGCTGCTCCGTGAGGCTTCAGCTCTTGGAGAGGCTCTGGGGGAAGATGGGAGGGGGCTGTTCATGATTGATCTGGAAGGAAGACACAGAATAAAAGTTGGTCGTCACCCGCATTTCCTGCCAGCTGACTCTCCTGCGTGGCATGACTTTGCCATTTATAAGTCTTGACGTGCACAAGCGTGCGTTTCTTTTAAATTAAAGTAGAAAGGACTGTTAATGTCCTTACATGGTGAAGTGTGGGGGCTGTGGAGGGCTTGGCGAAAGCCATTTTCCGGTAAGATGCAGTGCTAGCCCCCCTCTTGGGGCAAAGGAAGGCAAGATGCAGCACCTGCTGGTGTGTGGCACAGCTGTCCAACTTGGAGCCCCAGGGTGGAAAGGGAGAAGCTGGCCCCTATCGAGCCCTGTCAAGCCTTGTGGTCCTTCATCCTAGCACACTTTGAGGACCCCAGGTGTGGACCTCTTTGGGTGGGGGGTGAAACCTGCCCTCTGACTCTGCTTTTTAGATCTTTGGCAGGGTTTGCTTCTGCATTTTGAGATTGCCAAGGCAGAGATCGCGAGCAAAAGTGAGGCTACAGGACAAAGCTACCTCTGGAAGATAAGGAGCAGAGTACTGTGTTAGGGAATGTTCTGGGTGCCTCTTGAGCATCTGGAGGAGAGCTGTGTAGGAAATATTCCAATGTCTGTCGCTGCAGGATCCCTTATCTGCCCTTGCAGCTGTTGCATAGAAAAAAGCATGAGAGGTTTTCCTCTTTGAGATACTTCTTTGGTTTTAGTTTCAGTAAAAGCCTTCTTGAAGTACTTTAACCTTGCAGACACTTTAGCCTTGCTTTATGAGCCACAGAAATGAGTCAGTATTCAGGGACTGGCGAGACTGGCTTGGAGACAGGGAGTTGGGATAAGGGTTTGGCCACCCACTAGGTCAGTGCTTGCAGTCTTTCTCCATCCAAAATAGCAGTTCAAACTCTCTTCACTGTTGGAACTGAAGGAGGATGTATGTGTGAGTGCTTGACATGACAAGGAACTATGATAAAGGTAGGATGATTTTAGAACCAGCTCATTTTCATGGTAGCTTGTGCTTTTTTACATGTTGAAAGGGAGATGGACTGGTGGCGTCTAGTTAGTAAGGCTGTGTCTGTCATGACAGCGTTCCATATGGGTGCTAGTCTTTGTCTTGACTGCTCCACTATCAATCCAGATACCTGCGAATGATCTAGAAAGCAGTGGAAGATGGTCCAAGTGATTGAGTCCCTGCCACATATATGGGAGACTCGGAGGAAGCTGGCTGTTGCAGCCTCTTGGGGAGTGAACCATTGGATGAAGATCATCTCTCTGTAGCTTTCAAATAAGTAAATAAATCTTTAGGAGAAATGGAGAAACTGTGTGTGGTGATCAGAAAAGTTGTTTTCATTTTGTATTGCAAAAGATGACTGAGATTTATTTAAAGCTTTGGTGTATTCTTTCCAGATGGTACAAACTGTCATTCTAGTCTACTCATTTGGGATTACAGATAATGGTACTGGAATTTTTAGAAATATTACAGCTTGAGTGCCTCTGATCTGAAAACTTAAATGAAGAACTTTAAAATCCAGCACTTTTGAGCACTGGCATGATATCATAGATAGAAAATTCCACACCTAACCTCATGTGTTGGGTCATGATCCAAAAGCAAGTGCATGAAGCATATTGTATGAAGTTACTTTTAGGCTGTGTGTGTTAGGTATGTATGTTATCTGGCCAGCAGAGCCAGTCACGTGGACAGGGAGAGGGTCTGGGGATGAAGCACAGACAGGAGACCAGTGATGATTGAAATCTCTGGGAAGTCTCTCTTTATTGCTCCTTCACCTCTCCTTATATACTCTTCCCCCCCAAGTCCTAATTTAGCCAGGAAGTTGGATACAGATGAGTCCAATTATTCTAGGTGGTTTTAGTCACAAGCCCAATTCCTGTTCCTGCCCATCCCAATGCTAATCAACTCCTTAGCCCACAACATATATGGACATAAATGAATGTCCCGTTTAGATTGCAGTACTGTCCCGATATGTTTTTTGATGTGTGTGCAAGTGTTCCAGAATCCAAAAAAGTTTTACATTTGAAATACTTCTTGTTCCAACAATTTTGAATAAGGGATGCATGACCTGCATTAGGTATCTTTGGGCAAGGCTTTGGGATTTTGCAACTAGCAGGCTGATGGTGTAATGTAGCCTCAGGGAACTACATTCTGATGGCACAGATAAAACTAGTGCTCAAAGAATTTTTTAAATAAATTTTTTTTGTATGTGAAAGGCAGAGGAGCATAGGGAGAAAGAGGAAGGATCTAAATTGTGGTTTAGTGCCCAAATGGCCACAGCAGGTGGTGCTGGGCCAAGCCAAAGCCAGGAGCCAGGAACTAAGAATTCCATCTGGGTTTCAGATGTGGGTGGTAGGAAACAAAACCCCCGACTGTCTTCTGCTGCTTTTCCATGTGTGTTAGCAGTGAACGGAACTGAATGTGAAGCAGTCCAGTCCAAAACTGACAGTTGATATGGGATGCCTGTATCCCAAGCAGCAGTTTAACGCACTACATACTGCTAACTCTTAGTGTCCAAGGAATTTTAACTCAAGATAGGGTCACGAAAGAGTCACTGTTAAACCTCATAACCACTCTTGTTGGATCTCTTGATCTAGTGGAGGATCCCAGAAATCATCCTACCTTACTTTTTAAAACTATTGGGTTCAGTTTAATTCTGGGGCTGGAGTAAAATAGTTTCCAGTACTACTTCTTTGCTGTTAAAATAAGTTCAGTTTTTTTTCCTTTTCATTGAATGATTCATATTTTAAATTAGCATTGGAGACAGAGAATAAAATAATAAAAGCAGAATAATTATGGAGATTTGAGAAGTTTTATTGGTCCAAATAAAGTCTTATCCTTGGTTATAGTTTTTGATTTTTTTTATGATTTATTTGTTTATTGGAAAGTCAGATATACAGAGAGGTGGAAAGACAGAGAGGAAGATCTTCCGTCCTATGATTCACTCCCAAAGTGAGCGCAACGGCCAGTGCTACGCTGGTCCGAAGCCAGGATCCAGGAACTTCTTCCGGGTCTCCCATGCGGGTGCAGGGTCCCAAAGCTTTGGGCCGTCCTCGACTGCTTTTCCAGGCCACAAGCAGGGATCTAGATGGGAAATGGAGCTGCCAGGATTGGAACCAGCACCCATAGGGGATCCCAGCACGTTCAAGGCAAGGACTTTAGCTGCTAGGCCACGCCACCAGGCCCTAGTTTTTTATTTTCTTAAATCAGGTTAGCTTCTTGGATTCTAGGTATTTTTCTGTCACACTGCTGTCACTGAGCATGAAGACTGTCATATTCGCAAATATCACCAATGTGCAATAAGAGTGAAATAATAGGTATTAATTATTGGACATTTTCAAAAGTTATTGCTCAGAATAACCAAGGGAGTTCTGTAGATTTAGAATGAAGTTTAGACATCTGTGTTTTCACATCATGCAATGCTGATTCTGAAATCATGCTTCATGGAACACACTTTGAATAACATTTAGGTTGATATTTGGAAATTCTAAGTGCAGAATTGACAGTTGTGGTTGTAGGAATGGGTAAGAGCCCTGAGGAGGAAAATGTATGTGTCTTGTAATTTTCTGTTTTTTTTTTTTTTTTTTTTTTTTCCTGTCGTTGATTGTGGTTTTTCATTTAAGGGGATGTATAGTAACTGTGTAATGGAGACTGTCATATCCAGATGTGAGGATACAATACAGTATACATCTTTACTTTCAGATCAAAGATGGACTCCCAATGAAACCGTTTACTGTATCTTGACAACAGAATGCTGGACTCTCTGCCACTGTCTATGCCTGCAATGATGGACATATGATTGTTTATGATGAACTGTAGTAATAATATGGGGGAGCTCAGTGGAGGGGGAAAAAGGGACTTGGGGAGAGGGTAAGGAAAATCCCAGGGGGAACTGTAACATAAAATGATAATGGTAAAAAAAAAATAAGAGTTGAAAGGATGGGGATGGGTGTGAACTTCTTTAAGGAAAAAGACACACAATTTTTAAAATACAAATAGGTATGAGTTGAAAAAAATCACAATAAATTATAAATAAAATATATTAACATCAATTAAAAAATGTATGTGTCACAGGGGGACAGTAACACACACACACACACATACACATGCACACATATAGAATGAGGAAGTGGACAGATGACTCAGTTTCAGTTGTGGGAAAAGGAAGAGAGGAGGTAAGGACCTTTAGAAATGGACCAGCCAAGCAGGTGGGAGGTGCGTAGTTTTGAAGGTGCTTTGTTGGGTCCATGGGAGTGAAGATGGGACGACAAGATTGTAGTGACAGCAAGCAGTGGAGTGCGTAGTTTGAAGTGCTTGTTGGGTCCATGGGAGTGAAGATGGGGACGAACAAGATTTGTAGTGACCTAGGGATTTCTACTGATGGAAGATAGAAGAAGGCAGGAGGCAGTGAGGGAGTGCATTAGCTGTATCTCCAGGACCTAGCACATTGCTTCAGAATTTTTAATGAACAAGCTAAAAAGACCATCAGAAATGGGATTAAGTAGATGTAATAGCAGTTGAAGAGATTAAAAGATAGGCTAAAAATTTGTTTAGGGAGAATTAAAACTTAACTTTGTTGAGGTATAATTCATACAGAATAAAATGTGGCTATTTCATACATTGACTCCGTAAATTTTTTTTTAAAATATTCTCAGCAACTATCTTTTTTTTTTAAAAGATTTATTTTTATTTTTATTGGAAAGGCGGATATACAGAGAGGAGAGACAGAGAGGAAGATCTTCCGTCCAATGATTCACTCCCCAAGTGAGCACAATGGCTGATGCTATGCCAGTCCGAAGCCAGGAGCCTCTTCTGGGTCTCCCACACGGGTACAGGGTCCCAAAGCCTTGGGCCGTCTTCAACTGCTTTCCCGGGC